TTTAAGTTGAACGACCCCGCGTTCCGGTCGCTTGTTGAAAAGGCGCCGGGATCTCCCGTGCTGCGACTCACGGAGTCGGCTCGAACTGCGGCGCCGGCTCCTGGCGGATTTTTTGCCTAGGAGTCTCCTGGCCTGACTCGCTATTTCAGATGAGTTGGGAACTCTGCCGTCTCAGGGCTCTGCTCGCCAGCTAAGAGGGCTCCCAGACCAGTGGCTTTTGTACGGAGAACCGCAGCAACAGGGCGTGGTCACAGCAGCCGCGCGGGCGGAATCAGCCCCACAGGGGCCAAAACAGCCGCACCGGCTGGGACTGCGACGCTGGCGACCCCTCTGCCTGGGTATCTCCTGGTCTGTGGGCAATAAGAGTTTGTCTGGAAATGCGGCGTCCACTCACCCTCTGCACTTTCACTGGGAGCTGAAGTCCTGAGCTGTTCTTAGGCGGCCATCTTCCCAGCATTCCAGCTACCTAAATTTTTTAATGGGACAGGAGTTTGAAAACTGTGGCTTGTGGGCCAAACCTAGCCTGCTGTCTGTTTCATGTTATGAAACAGACACAAATTATGAATGATTTTTACATGATTGAAAAAAATTAACATTTTGTGGCCAGGCAAGGTGGCTCATGCCTGTAATTCCAGGACTTTGGGAGGCCAAGGTGAGTGGATCGCTTGAGGTCAGGAGTTTGAGACCAGCCTAGCCGACATGGTGAAACCTCATTGCTACTAAAAATACAAAAAAAGTAGCTGGGTGTGGTGGCAGGAGCCTGGAGTCCCAGCTATCTGGGAGGCTGAGGGAGGAGAATTGCTTGAGCCCAGGAGGCAGAGGTTGTAGTGAGCCGAGCTTGCGCCACTGTACTCCAGCCTGGGTGACAAAGTGAGACTCTGTCTATAAAAAAAGAACCATTTTGTGACAAGTGAAAATTACATAAAATTCAAGTTTCAGTATCCATAAATAAAGTTTTATTGGAACACAGACATGTCCATTCACTTATGTATCATCCACGGCTGCTTTCATATCATAACCTCAGAGTTGAGTGATTGTGACAGAGACTATATGGCTGGCCAGGCCTAAAATGTTTACTCTTTGGCTTTTTACACAAAAAGTTTTCTAACTACTGATCTAGAAGAATAAATTTTCTTTGTTTTCTGCTTGGAAATTCCTGTTTTGGACTGAGAAGTAAGGCTATTTCCATGCTTATACAGGCCCATCCACTTTTATAAATAATAGTGAACAACTGTCTTCACATCTCATGGTAGGAACACCAAGTATATTTGCGTAAGTGTGAGTTTATGTATACAGGCACTAAGTATTTACAATACCTAAGTTTATTTCAAGCTGACCATCACATGTGATGATAATTATTAACATAAATTATTCTTGTGAAAGGATAATGTTTATTAAATTATGTCAAAAATTTTAGCAATACAATTTTTGTAACCTTCCCCCTATTCCATCAAGGGCAACTACTTGTCTCCAGATGTTCAGAATTTGTTAAAACAGGAAAGAAAGAGGAAGAAAAGGCCAGTGTTCACATTTCGGCTACCAATTTGGAATTTCTTTTATAAGTTTGTAGGGAGACAATGGTCTTGAGAATGTTGAAGATTTTCTCAATTCCTTAAGGTCTCCTTTATGTATTAAGAGCTATGCTTGTGAGGCTTTGGGATTATAGGTAGCAAGCCTATAATCCCAGCACTTTGGGAGGCCAAGGTGGGTGGATCACTTGAGGTCAGGAGTTTGAGACCAGCTTGGCCATGGCAAAAACCTGTCTCTACTAAAAATACAAAATTAGCCAAGCATGGTGGCATGCCCCTGTAGTCCCAGCTACTCAGGAGGCTGAGGCAGAAGAATTACTTGAACCCTGGAGGCAGAGGTTGCAGTGAGCTGAGATCGTGTCACTGCACTCCAGCTTGAGCTACAGAAACACCATGTCAAAAAAAAAAAAAAAATCACAAGAATTCAGTAAATGTGTCAGGGAAGTCCCTGACCCATAGGAAGAAAAGGGAAAGCCTGTCCCTGCTGGTCCCACTGGAGTGTGTGGTAAAAGAAGGGGTACAAAGTTAAGAAGGAATTGGTGAGCCAAGTATATTCTGGTTACTTCTTTCCAAGTCCATGTGAGATGGGAGGGTGGCAGAAACTTCATGGTAAAATTAAAAGCAGAGTGCAGTTTGCCTCTTTCTCTATTTGGGCTCTTGCAGGGGTTGGGGGGTGTCAGCTCACACCTGTAATCCCAGCACTTTGGGAGGCTGAGGCAGGTGGATCACTAGGTTAAGAGATCGAGACCATCCTGGCCAACATGGTAAAACCCTGTCTCTACTAAAAATATAATAATTAGCTGGGCATGTGGCACACACCTGTAGTTCCAGCTACTCAGGAGGCTGAGGCAGGAGTATTGCTTGAAACTGGGAGGAGGACGTTGCAGTGAGCCGAGACTGAACCACTGCACTCTAGCCTGTGTGACAGAGCAACACTCCATCTGAAAAATAAATAAAAGAGATTGAGCTAGCACTTTGGAACCTGTCTAGGTTTGTGTGGATTGTGGAGGGATGTGAAGGGTTCCTAAAGCTGTATGGGGAAGCACAGAAGATAGCTGATGCTGCTGGCTGGCAGCTTTGTCATGGTGTATTAGTACATTTTCATGCGTTGATACAGACATGCCCAAGAATGGGAAGAAAAATAGGTTTGATGGACTTACAGTTCCACGTGGCTGGGGAAGCCTTACAATCATGGCAGAAGGTGAAAGGTAGTCTCACTTGGCAGCAGACAAGAGAATAAAGCTTGTGCAGGGGACCTCCCCTTTATAAAACCATCAGATCTGGCGAGACTTATTCACTATCACGAGAATAGCATAGGAAAGACCCACCCGCATGATTCAATTACCTCCCACCGGATCTCTCCCACAACATGTGGGAATTGTAAAAGTTACAATTAAAGATGAGATTTGGGTGGGGACACAGTCAAATCATATCACATGGTGAGGGTGATTTACCCTGTGGTTATTGACAAGATAGAGAGGGGTGCAGGGAGGATAGTGATATTCACAGCACCAGTGAGAGCCAGATTGGGGGCAGGCTGGGAAGGGAGGGTCATGGGCCCTTTGCAAGCCTAGAGAATAAACCAAGTGCTTGCCAGCCACAGACTTCTTCAGTGGACTCCTCCCAGAAACCAGCTCCTGCACAGGCAACAGTGACATCCAGGGAAAAGCAGAGGCAGTCAGACTCCCTTGCCCTGAGAGCTATTTCTCTCCCTTACCCCTTATACTCAGGGGTGAAGATCAGGGGCAAAGCAGCCCTCATAAAGAGATGAGCTTCAAACTAACTGAATAAAGAATCCAGAGAAGCAGTCTTAAACTAGAAAAGTCTGATACACTTTTAATTAACTACTTTAATTCCAACCATGTGTCCAAACCATCTCTCATATACTCAAATGTATATGAGAAGGGACAAATCAGTAGTGAAAAAAAAAATTTTTTTAAAGAATTGATGAATAATAAGATGTTAATTTTTTTGACATTTCTACTCTATTCAAATCTGTCATGCAGTTTTGTTCTAAGCAGTGACTTTCAAATGTTTTGATCATGTCCCTCAGTAAAACATTTTACATCACTACCAAGAACATATGTTCTTACACATATGCCTGAAATAAAATATCATGAAATCAAATATACCTTTAATTTATTGTGTGATTATGCTCTATTTTCTAGTCTTCTCTACATTAGAAAAAAATGTCATTTATGTCCCATTAAATTGATTATTTAATCAGCAGCCGTTTATTAAAGCTCTCCAGCCTGGGTGACAGAGTGAGACCCTTTTTAGGATGAGGGGAAGGGTGTAGCACATAAACTAAAGAGTTACTGAGTCTTGGTCTTTGACATGCTGAACTGGAATAGTATTGCAGACAGCTACAACTATGGTAGATATTTCAATTCCAATTCAAGTATAGAAGCCAAGAACTAGTATAGAAGCTAATTCCAATTCAAGTATAGAATCTAAGAACTTTTCTTTTTATCTTTAATGTACAAAAAGTACATTAAAGAAGTACAGGCTGGGCGCGGTGGCTCACACCTGTAATCCCAGTCCTCTGGGAGACCAAGGTAGATGGATCACAAGATCAGGAGATCAATACTGTCCTGGCTAACATGTTGAAGTCCTGTCTCTACTAAAAATACAAAAAATTAGCCAGGTGTGGTGGCACATGCCTTAATCCCAGCTACTTGGGAGGCTGAGGTGGGAGAATCGCTTGAACCCAAGAGGCGGAGGTTGCAGTGAACTGAGGTCGTGCCACTGTACTCCAGCCTGGGTGACAGAGCAAGACTTCATCTAACAGAAAAAACAAAATACAAAATGAGTGGTTGAACAAAATCGGAAGGTGGAACATATGAAGCAGAAAGAATCCTCAAAGTACAATTCTGATGATAGGATGAAGGGCATACCAGGTGTTCAGCATTTTGTAGCGTCATTTATGAAGAGAGCACTATTGACCCATTTGCTGTGGGAGGGTATCACACTGACTTCATTTGCCACACTGCATATTTGATTGTATCTTTTACATCCAACTTTTCTGGTTGATGTCCTTGAATAACTCACAGCAGGTGTTTGCAAGCCAGGATCAAGTGTGCCTTCTGTACTCCTGATACAGAGGAAACATAGTTGACCCACAGGAACGGAAATCAAGACCTTTGCCTTATTGGCCCTTTAAGTTACCAACAGAGCTAACCAAACCCAGACTACTTGAGAAGGAGAAAAATTAAAATAAAAGACACCTTTTGCAAGCAATTACGTAACAGTTTTTGAAAAAAAAAAGCTGCAAAAAGTGTAAATCATTTCCACGTGATTTACAAACTTTCAGGGTGACTTAAAAATTCTCAAAACATTCTGTTATGGCTGGTAAAGGTGAAAAGGAAAGTAAGAAGACAGAAACAAGACAAGAACCCTCTATGTTTTCTTTCTCCTCCATAAAATCTTTCCCCCACCAAAAGAACACATGGCCACTGAGCAGCAACTTACCATTTTTCCAGGGTCAGTTCACTTTTCGTGCTGCTCTAAACCCTGCTGAAAGCCAGCTCCCCAGGGAACCGCAGGAATGGGGGCTGGCCTCTCTTAGTCTGCAGGCACTCAGAAGGAAATGCCCCTTGCCAAGAAAGGGGTGGTGTTAGGGGAGAATCCATCTACTGTCAAGGAAGTTTCAATTAAGTATGGATGCCAATTAATTTAATTTATATTTCGGCATGAAAAATGTCATTCTATTATACATGCACTGGAAGGATGCCAGAAGCCCATGTTAATAAATTACATCTCTACTGACATAATATGGAATTGCAGACTAATCGGATACTTATTAAATGCCCACCTGTGCTTGGGGCTACACCTTGTAGAAATCCAGCTGAAATAAGGTCTGTCCAGTAAGGCTTGTCCTTACACTGTGATCATCTGACAACCACTCTTAACCTCCTCTTCTTCTAGCCTTGGGCGTGTCTCAGGAGAACAACTGTGAAAAAGAATAATCAACATTCAGTTGCCAGTGGTTATGAATGGGCATATTTAATGACTAAGGGAATGAATGAAGAGGAACTGTAAATAATCTATTCAAGTTAATTGAGGAACAGGTCTACTCTGGTTAGCAGGAAACTTGCCATGATTATTCTACTACAGATTCAGGTCAGCTGGTCGTAGGTAATAATAGTAATACCACCTGGTTATTAAGTGCCAACTCTGTGCCACACTCCATGTTTTATTTTGCATTCTTGCTATATATTTTACTTTGAATCCCTACAACAATCCTTCAAGGTAAGGATGACTTCTTCCCACACCCCTCATTTTAGAGGCAAAAGCTGAAGCTCAGTACCATGAAATGACCTTGGTCAAGGTCACGTGATTAGTAAGAGGCACATTCTCCTGTGCTGGCCGATTTCCACTGCATCAAACCTCTATTCTCTATGACAAGTGTCACTACTGTCTCCATGGAGGATGGGCTGGTGACTGCCCTGTTCTGGCAGTGCTGACATACTGGATAGTTCTTGATGCACTACAGTTACAATTGAATCACCAGGAGGTGACTCTGTAATACCTGTTTCCTGGGAATTCATCCTGTTCTCCTCTGCTACAGTTCTGTATAGTTGTGAAACGGATGTTGCTCAGTTGCAAAAAGTTCTCAAATAGTCATGCATTGTTTGCAGCCAGTTATTTATTCAATATTTACTAAGCACCCACTATGTGCTATGTCCTAGGATACAATAAAGAAAAAGGAGGTCAGACTAATGGGGAAGACAGATGCCCTAACACAAAATTGTAATGTGTGTGGTTTAATACTATGGAATTGCTAAGGAAAAGTGTTCCTTTTGTTATTTATTCAATCAATCCCTTATTCCCTCTATGATCACGTACATAGTCTTTGTGTTATACTGGACAGCAGGCCCGTTCTCACATTTTCAAGTCAGGGTAAGAAAAGACATGAAAGCCACCAGCCTGAGTCTGTTCCCCTGATTTCCTCTTTCTTCCCATATCTGACTTCATCTTGCACTGCAAGGGGCCTCCCATATACGTGTCTGGGCGCCCCAGCCTATGTGTACACATTTTGAAACACCTCCTGTTAGAATCTCTTAAAATCAGGAAAAGGCTTCTGTGCAGCCTAGAAGCAACTTTTGGCCTCTTTGAATAGGGAGTGCTGGGATCCAGGATCCGGAGAGTGGTACAGGGCCCTCTGGCTCTATTCACTCCTTCCCCTGTGGCTGCGGACAAGGGCAAAGGAAGGCCAGAGGGCCTCAGAGTTAGGTCCTCAAAGCAGCCACTTGGCATCACCTGGAAACTCATTAGAAATGCAGAATCACAGGCCCCACTGCAGACTTTGTGAGTCAAGTTGGCATTATTTTTTCATTATTTAATTATTATTTTTTTGAGATGGAGTCTCACTCTGTCACCCAGGCTGCAGCTCACTGCAACCTCTGCCTCCTGGGTACAAGCAATTCTGCCTCAGCCTCCCAAGTAGCTGGGATTATGGATGTGAGCCACCACGCCCAGTTAATTTCTTATTTTTAGTAGAGATGAGGTCTCACCATGTTGGCCAGGCTGGTTTCGAATTCCTGACCTCAAGTGATCCATCTGCCTTGGCCTCCAAAAGTGCTGGGATTATAGGCGTGAGCCACTGCACCCGTCCAGTTCTGCATTTTAACAAGATTTTCAGGTACTTCATGGCCTTTTGAGAAACACTGCTCTAAGGGCTCTATCTGAATCCCCTCTTTTGGTACTTGAAGAAACTGAGGTTGCCTGAAGCCCAGGGCAGAAGGAGGGGCCTGGCCTGGGGCCAGGTTGCCCAGGTTTGAGAGTGTCCTTCTGGGCACTTACTGTTGTTCTCTAGGGTAAACATGCGCCACAGCAAATTTCAGAAAAAACATCTTTTGAATAACTCAGATTATGAGAGGCCTGGAGTAAGAGATTTACAGCAAGCGATCCAAGGAAGAGAATCCCATGAAGTCATGGGTAAAATAACTAAAGGAAAATTAAAGTTCTTTTTCTGAACTAAAGGAAAGTGATAACAAGTCACCCCACAAGCGAACTTGAGGGAGGGTTGAGGAACTCTTTTACATTTTGTTTCTGAGTCCAATGCAAATGAGCTGGAGTAGACTTCCATAGTCTGGTGAATTGTCCTTTTTTTGTTGTTTTCTGTGTTCCCTTAGCCTTCCCCTTTTCCCTCAGTATATTTAGTTCCCACACCTTTCTGATCCATATGGCCTTTCACTCCATTGCTTTTGGTTTTCTCAGATCACTTACTCTGCTCCAAAGAATATAAAAAAGAGAAGTTGGTGGGGTGTGGTGGCTCATGTCTGTAATTCCAGCACTTTGGGAGGCTGAGGAGGGCAGATCACGAGGTCAGGAGTTCGAGACCAGCATGACCAACATGGTGAAACCCCTTCTCTACTAAAAATACAAAAAAAAAAAATTAGCCGGGCGTGGTGGTGTGTGCCTGTAATCCCAGCTACTTAGGAGGCTGAGGCAGTAGAATCACTTTAACCCAGGAGGCAGAGGTTGCAGTAAGCTGAGATCATGCCACTGCACTCCAGCCTGGATGACAGATCGAGACTCCTTCTCAAAAAGAAGAATAACAAGAAGAAGAAGAAGAAGAAGAAGAAGAAGAAGAAGAAGAAGAAGAAGAAGAAGAAGAAGAAGAAGAAGAAGAAGTCATCAAAAAGTCAACAGAACCTTTTTTTTTTTTTTTTTTTTTTTTTTTTGAGACAGGACCTTGCTATTCACCCAAGCCGGAGTGCAGTGGTGCCACTGCTGCTCACTGCAGCTTCCACCTCTTTGGCTGAAGTGATCCTACCACTTCAGCTGCCTGAGTAGCTAACTGGGCCTACAGACATGTGCCATCATGCCCAGCTAATTATTTTTTTTATTTGTAGAGATAGGGTCTCACCATGTTGCCCAGGCTGGCCTCAAACTCCTGAGCTCGTGATCCTCCCTCCTTGCCCTCCCAAAGTGCCAGAATTACAGGCGTGAGCCACTATGTCTGGCCAGCACAAAGTTTAAAAATATGGTCTATGATGCGAGTGGATCACCTGAGGTCAGGAGTTCAAGACCAGTCTGGCCAACATGGTGAAACCCCACCTCTACTAAAAATACAAAAATTAGCTGGGTGTGATGGCTGGTGCCTGTAGTCCCAGCTACTCGGGAGGCTGAGACAGGAGAATTGCTTGAACCTGGGAGGTGGAGGCTGCAGTAAGCCAAGATCACACCACTGCACTCCAGCATGAAGAGTAAGACCCTTTCTCAAAAAAAAAAAAAAAAAAAGTCCAATGCTTATTTCCTGCTGCCACTGATTTCTATCAATTTTTTAAAAAAATTACTGTAATTTATATTCATACATAAAAATAGAGTTGCATTTCGATCTTACAAGCTCCCTTTAGCCAGCTACAGTTATCAGCATGCGGCCAGTTGTGCTTCAGTTCTGCCTAGCCCATCTTCTCATCTCTATTGCTCACCTATCTTTTCTTTTTTCCCTTTTCTTTCCCTTTCTTCTCTTTCTTTCTTTCTTGCTGGTGTTTACTAAAGCATATTCCAGACGTCATGTCATTTAACTCACTTCCTACAGAGTTTCCTTGAGGCAGGGCTACAAGATAATGTAGGCTGGGGAAGTGATCTCTTATGATTATATTTCTCACCAAAATATGGAATTTGTGGTATTAAGAAACAATAAAGAATTTCTAACACTTCTTCATAATGCCCCAGATATTTCGGACTTTATTTCATGGCCTTTTGAGAAACTTTATTTTCCAGGGGCGGGGGGGAGGGTGGTGGTCTGTGAGAAATTTTTCATCTTCCTTTACTATTAAAATAGTCACAGAATAACAGAAACTTTGGATGTTTATTAATCTAAAAAGAGGTGTATATTTTCTTTCTGTTGGTGAAGAGCATGTTCAGGCCATCACTTTTGAAGTTAAAATTTGACAATGGAAAGTTTGCAGAGACCTTCTATGACAAGAAACCAAACATATCATTGCCCTCAGCTCTAAACCCTCTGCCAGGCAATGTCCTGGAGCTGATTGTTGTAATGGTTTTAGAAAGGCACTTAGGAGCAGGACTTAAAGCATGGTACACAGTTGTTTAATGTTCACACAAGTCAGATCTATGAAGGATCAAGTAATTTGGAGGTTTGGTTACTTTCCATTAGTAAATATCATCCAACAAATTTGGGTAAAATGACCTCTAAATAAGTCAGGTACACAAGAGCTTTGAAGGAGGGAATTAATTATAGCTGGTGTCTTAAGGAGAAAGAATCCCACAGTGGCATGCAGAATGTAATTAACGGGAGGTAAGTGCCAACAAATCACTCTTTAAAATATTAATGCTATCAAAGAACAGCTGGATAATGAGAGAAACTTGACCCTTGGGGGACTAGCAAAGGTTGCTGCTGCTGCAGAACTTTATGCAGTCATGACGTAATGAAATTCCTCTGAATTTTAACAAAAACTAATACTGAGAGGTGTGGTTCTGGGAAAGTTATTGGCAGTAAACATGTCAAAATTTTTATCATCTATTATTATAATCATTACATCTCATTTTTGCTGTGGTTCTAAGTGATATTTTCCTGTAATTGGTCAGGATATA